TATATACTGCGTGCAAAGGAAATAAGGGTGTGTGCACAGTTTCAATTCGATATCTTTAAAACTGAGAGACTAGTTCGCGTAGAAACAGACAGACGGACAGACAGACGGACAGACGGACGGACGGACAGACGGACAGACGGACATGGCTATATCAACTCAGGAGGTGATTCTGATCAAGAATATATATACTTTATAGGGTCGGAGATGTCTCCTTCATTGCGTTGCACACTTTTGACCAAAATTATAATACCCTCTGCAAGGGTATAAAAATGTATTGTTGATAAGTTTTTTTTCTTACTTTATTGGCATTAAATGAATCTACGGTATCGCGCACAACAGTTCATACGCCGCAAATACCCTGCAGTGCGCTTTTGATGTCCTTTAAGAATTATAAACAATAAATAAATAAAAGAAAAAAAAATGCTTTCCTTTTTTGTCAGATTAAAAAGGTTGCTTCAACCGGTTGACCCGCACTTTCATCACATTTGCCACCAAACGAACACCGTATAAGAATTTAATGCGAAATGTTTGGCTTTCCTCAGTTCTTTGTTTAAGTCAGCATAAAATACTTACAAAACAAGAAAGGAAAGCTAACTTCGGGCGGAGCCGAAGTTGATATACCCTTGCAGAATACTCTGTAAATTATATTCTCCAAAATTATTCATATGATGTATTCTTAATACTCATAAAAAATCCCAACTTCCTAACTTTAAAAACACCAAAGTTATGGCATTTCTAATCGTTCAGTTATATGGCAGCTATAAGATATAGTCGGCCGATCCTTATGAAATTTGGTATGTCATATTGATTGGCCAAAAATAAAACCCATAGAAAATCCCAACTTCTTAACTTTACAAACACCAAAGTTATGGCACTTCCGATCAATCAGGTATATGGCAGCTATAAGATATAGTCGGCCGATCCTTATGAAATTCGGTATGTCGGATTGATTGGCCAAAAATAAAACCCATAGAAAGTCCCAACTTCTTATCTTTAAAAACACCAAAGTTATGGCTTTTCCGATCGTTCAGTTATATGGCAGCTATATGATATAGTCGCCCGATCCGGCTCGTTCCGACTTATATACTACCTGCAATAGAAAGACAACTTTTGGGAAAGTTTCGAGCAGATAGCTTTAAAACTGAGGGACTAGTTTGCGTAGAAACGGACGGACAGACGGACAGACTGACAGACGGACAGACGGACAGACGGACAGACGGACGGACAGACGGACGGACAGACGGACAGACGGACATGGCTAGATCGACTCTCCTGGTGATGCTGATCAAGAATATATATACTTTATAGGGTCGGAAATGTCTCCTTCACTGCGTTGCAAACTTTTGACTGAAATTATAATACCCTCTGCAAGGGTATAAAAACATAAAACAAGAACAGATAAAATTAAAAAAAAAATAAAAGGGTTATCCAGTTTTAGCATGGTACTAATAATCGTGTTATTGTAAGATGCGCCAAAACACTTACCTCAAAAGGACTATTTTGGAAAATTCCTCATTTGAATATATCTACTAAAAAAAATTTTAAACAAGAAAGGAAAGCTAACTTCGGGCGGAGCCGAAGTTGAAATACCCTTGCAGAATATTCTGTAAATTATATTCTCCAAAATTATTTATATGATGCATTCTTAACACTCATAAAAATCCCAACTTCCTAACTTTAAAAACACCAAAGTTATGGCATTTCCAATCGTTCAGTTATATGGCAGCTATAGAATATAGTCGGCCGATCCTTATGAAATTTGGTATGTCGGATTGATTGGCCAAAAATAAAACCCATAGAAAATTTCAACTTCCTAACTTTAGAAACACCAAGGTTATGGGATTTCCGATCAATCAGTTATATGGCGGCTATAGGATATAGCCGGCCTTATGAAATTTGGTAGGCCAGATTAAGTGGCCAAATATAAAAGCCATAGAAAATCCCAACTTTCTATCTTTACAAACACCAAAGTTATGGCATTTCCGATCAATCAGTTATATGGCAGCTATAGGATATAGTCGGCCGATCCTTATGAAATTTGGTAGGTCGGATTGATTGGCCAAATATAAAACTCATAGAAAATCCCAACTTTCTAACTTTACAAACAACAAAGTTATGGCATTTCCGATCAATCAGTTATATGGCAGCTATAGGATATAGTCGGCCGATCCCGGCCGTTCCGACTTATATACTGCGTGCAAAGGAAAGAAGGGTGTGTGAAGGTTTCAATTCGATATCTTTAAAACTGAGAGACTAGTTCGCGTAGAAACAGACAGACGGACAGACAGACGGACAGACAGACGGACAGACAGACGGACAGACAGACGGACAGACGGACATGGCTATATCAACTCAGGAGGTGATCCTGATCAAGAATATATATACTTTATAGGGTCGGAGATGACTCCTTCACTGCGTTGCACACTTTTGACCAAAATTATAATACCCTCTGCAAGGGTATAAAAACTAAAGTATTTTGAAAAAAAAATCATTACATTTTAAGAAACTAATCGAATTTCAAAAATTAAAAAAAAAAATAATGTAAAATGCTGCAGTGTGGTTTATTTGATAAAACTGTTTTTAAAAATGACTATCATAAAATATTATTTTTATTTTTCTTAATTTTGTATTAAAGATACTTACTTTTTGTAAAGCCTATTTTGTTTAAAATCTTAAATATATGATCATAATGAAAAGCTGATTAAACCCTTATTCGTTAAGATGGTAAGGGATTAATCATGAAAATGTTCTGCATGAGTGTGTTACCTGCTATTCAGGGATTGTCCATACAAGCCTACTATAGACTCGGGAATAATGTGTCCTTTTGGAACCGTTATGATTCCCAATAAGTTCTAGCTGTTTTCTCGTAGAAACCCGAGAGTCGAGCAGAGAAAAGCATACTTACCTGGCGTAGAGGTTAACCGTGATCACGAAGGCGGTTCCTCCGGAGTGAGGCTTGGCCATTGCACATCGGTGGAGTTGACCTCTGCGATTACTCCTAATGTGAATAACTCGTGCGTGTTATTTTTGGTAGCCGGGAATGGCGTGCGCGCCGTCCCGACATTAATAATAAATACAAAAGTATACTATATTATCTTAAAGCGTTTGAGACATTAGCGTTGGATAATTTTACAAAATGTTCAGATAACTAAAAACATGGCATTTGTTGAGATTATGCGGGAAGAAACGCCATAATTCCCATTTGAATATTTTCCCTTGCTGATTTGGTTGTTACATCAGCAACTGCTTAGTGCAAATATTTGCCATGAACTGAAAGTCAATCATTTGTCCATTCATCTCAGTCATTTGCTACCTCCAAAATCAGAAACTGAATGCACTGGTTGCCTGTGGTTACGCGTTTACCACCCACCCCCAAAGGCACTTGTCGGGCGGATTGGAGATGGGATTAGGAATATATATATATATGCGGGGGTAAGTGGGACGCAACCCTTTCTGATTTGATGGTTATATGCAGATTCAGATTTTGGGCCGGCGCTCAAAGAAGGGGATGCTAAGGGGATGTCCTGCTAAGTATCCCTGGCAACCCGTTAATTTATAGGGCTTATGTGTCGGCGATCCTTTCCTCTGCCAGCTGGGCATTAGTGGATTAAAAGCGTTTATTGTCTTCGGTATCCTTTGAGCGAATACTACGACAACTGTGCGTCATGGATTCAATTGACAAAGTGACTGGGAATGCCACGCAATGTGGGTCGATGGCGATGCCGTGCGTTGCCAATCAATTTTCCTGGGACAACCTGGCAACAAGTCAGAAATAAAGCCATCTGCTTGGCAACGTCTGTGCTCCGTTTCTTTTTATCGGCTGCTGGGAATCTTATCGACTTTCAGTGACGAAATATCAGGAGACGGACGCCCCAGACACAAACACTCAGCCAGCCAGAAAGATAGACATGGCCATTGACTATTATTTGTTCCCCCCGAAAACGCCGAACACCCCGAATGCCCCGCACTATAGTAGGATTGAGCAGCAACCAAACATTATTAACAACAACCATCGGCGGTCGTGTGCCGCGCTGAAGCCTTAGGCGGTGACTATATATCTGGGTTTGTTTTTTTCCGAGGGGTTTGGGGGATGTCAACGTGCTCGTCATCACTTTGTATAAATATCCTCGAGCACGTATATTCCGTGGGGCCACGTGCTCTGTGGATGGCGAGCGTGGGTCCAGGACTTCAGAGATTAATGCACGCATTAGTTGATTTAATTCATATTACACTGTTGTTGCTGTTGTTGCCGTCGTCCTGGCTACCAGCGGCAATTGAGACATTCTGGGGAATCCCCTGGCAACGATTGTGAGGAGCTTACGGCATCGGAGGATTTAATATCGAATCGACAAGCCAGAACAAACTGAAATTGCATCCCCGTATCCCACCTCTGACACCTCTCATTTGGAGGCTGTCTGCCTGTCTTTCTGTTTTCCGTTTCTGTTCTTTTTAAACATTTGGCATACATTTGCATTGTTTAGCTGGAAGTTCTCCGTGAGCCGAGTCGAGCTTAGCATTGAATTTCAATATATTTCATGGTTTTCAATCAATTTCATGGCGCAATCCCAGAGGGAAAGGCAAGCCAACAACTCCCCCGGGGACTTGTCAAGGGTTTGGCAAACAGAGCCAGTTCGTCATCGTCATCATCAACATCATCATTCCCTTCATCATCCGGGATGGCACAGCAACTTCCACTGGATGGAGGAGCAACATCGGTTCGGGGGAGCTACACGGCAGCAACTTTTTGTATGGCAAAGTTCTTTCGTCTGAGGATTAATTTGCAAAGCAGGCTTCGGTCTTTGTCCGTGTCCGGCGAGTTTCTTGAGCCTCCGGATTATGAATCCGTTGCAGAAATTGCAGCAAAAGCACCTGCCAGTGCACTGCACTAAAGGCACTTTCTCAGTGTGTTTGTGAAAGAAGTGGAAAACTTATTTTTTGGCCGCTGTTTCAATTAAATCTGATCCGACTAAAGATTTTCAAACCGTTCCTTTCATCCACAGCCGCCGGGCGAGCACCACCAGAACCCTACTACGGCCGCTACATCGGAGACTTCACTAACTTCGCCCATGGAATCAAAGTGAGTTTGAAATTTGGTATTTTATTATTTTAAATTCCGTAACACAAAGTACTGTTATTACTGTTTTATTTTTGAATTCCACAAAAACTCATTATTAAAAAAAACTCAAACAAACAAAGTGTAATTTGCTACTGCCACAAATGTGGGGCAAGTATATCTTCCTTTTAAACGATTTATTAAAATAGTTGAATAATATCCAATCTATAAATTAGGCAACAATTTTAGTACCTTTCCTTTTATTTAAAAAATATATATTTGAGTTTACAAGCAAAATATTAATAAATGAAAGCTTAGGTAAGATGTAATAATCATTTTAAAGTTAGCAACAGCTTCCATCATATTTTATTGTAAGTAATGAAAACAACAAGACTTTGCTGATACTCGTAGTTATATAAGTCAAATGACAAGTCCATTAATTTGTAGTTTCTGTTTAGTAAGTATCTCCTTTTTATCATGCCACTTTATTATTTTTGCCAGGGTCAAGTCTACGCAGTGGACGAGTCGACGCTGTTCGTCAAATCCTTTGCCTACGACGGCACCGGACCGGACGCCTTCTTCTGGGTGGGCAAGACGGCACGGCCCAGTCCCGATGGCTACATCATTCCATATCCGGAGGAGTACACGGGCATGTGAGTATCTCAGTCCTAAGAATGCATTCTGGCATCCACACTCACATTTTTGGGGCCGACTTGCCATTGATGGCCGGACTGGACCTTGTTATGGAGATGGAAATGGGAGATGGCGATGGTGATGGTAATGGAGATGTCCTGGCTACTCGAGCGCAGCAGGCCATTTCCTCCGAACGTGAGCGAATGTTTGGGTATATGTATCCCCGCATCCTTGCAGACTTTACGTTACGCACGGCTGACAATGAAACCACTTTCAAAAATTAAAAAACATTTTTCATCTCGCCTGCCATTTGTGCTCTCGTTGTCGTTTTCCTTCCCGGCGCCTTTGTGGCTCTGGATGTTGCCGTTGTTGGTGTCGCTTCGTTGCCTCCTAATGTGAAAAACTCATTTATTTCTTCACGTTAGATTTGCGGTCATATGTGTGTGGCAGGCGGGAGGGGGGCGTGAGCGGAGACAACCACAGTCGCAGTCACAGCAGCCGCCCACCGAAAAAACAACAGCAAACAAAGAGAAAGTGGGGCGGTGGAAGAGAGAGAGATAGCGAAGTTTCAGCCTTTGCTACTATTTACTTTGAGTCGCCACAAGGTTAAGCCGCTCAACTGTTTACCTTGCCAGCCTCCTTGCGCTGCCACTTGAACGCACTAAGCCGGTATTAGCCAGCACCACCAACCCTCCTTTCCCCATCCTGCAGCCCCAGTAGCCTTTAACCCGCTGAAATCTGCCCCACCCCCTAACCTCTGACCCCCTTTTGAGCCCTAATCCCACGTTGCAGCCAAGATACGCACACAATTTGACGTCATTTACCTGCTTAGCCATTGAGCACTGCATATTTCATTATCACAAACAATGGAGCACCAAACTAGTCCCGCCGCCTCATCCTAATTCCCAGAGGCAGATCCTCAAACTTAAACCTAAACCTGAGCCACTTCCCCCGCCAAGGCAAAGGTAAAGTGGCCTCCCACTTGGCATTGACATTATCTCATGCACGAAACACACACCTCAGGTGAATGTTGGATTTGATTTTCATGGCTTAACTGGTCCAAACGGGTGGACCACCTCTTTGAGTTATCGAAGGCTAAGGTTGCGTAAATCACGCACTTAAATTTAACACTCACTTAAAAAAAACATTGAAAATTAGTTTCTTTAAGAATGATTAATAATTAACATTTTAGTTTTTTTGGCTTGAAAAATATTCAAATACTTTTTACCAATTTCTCACTAAAATAAGAGCAATCACGAAAACGTATATCTTTGACATCGAAAAATAATGTTGCACAGTAAATATCACAATACTGTTTGGACTATAGAATGTTTTTATTTTCATTTTCCAATGTCGACTTAACATTTACCACAATTTTTCGTTAAGTGCACCTAAAACGCTTCCCATTACCCTGAAGTAAGCTGATTTTTGCATATCCAATCTATGGCAAAATATTTTCGCAACTCCAAAAATAACAGAACGCATCGTGCGAGGCATAAGCGATTCCCGAAAATCGGATTCCCGCACTGCGCAGGCTCCACAACCCCATTCCCATTTGGCATCCCGAATCACGCAGCCAAAAAGAAAACCTGGGAATGTTTACGCTCTGGATTTCCCCATTCGAAAATCTCAACTGCTCGGCGCGGTTTCGCGCTTGAGGAATCGTTTGATGATGTGTATGTCGGCAGACTATAACCATTGCAGAACCATCCAAGGCGAATCCATCGCCCAAACCCGGGCATTCATATTGTAATCGACTTTAATGCGTTTCATTGTTGATGCCACGTGCCGGGCTTTATTAGTTCAATGTACAACGATGCCATCGCCTCCATTTCCATTTCCCCTTCCCCTTCCCTTTTCCACCACTCCACTCGTTCCCCCATCTTTAGTCCATAGTCCTTCGTCCTTCCTGTCCTTCTGACAAAGAGCAACATTGTGCCAAGGAGATGGGAATGGGCATGCGATGGAGGAGGTGGAAGCCCGGAACGCCGCAGCGATTGCACGCTTTTACGCTTTCAGACACATTACCCATACCACCCGGTGCACCTTATGATATGGGGCGGTGGTGGTGGGTGGCTGAAGGTCGGCGGTGGGGTGGCGGACTGGCAGCCTGGTGTTAGCACGATGATGATTGCTGTATTATGTGGCACACCGCTGCTATCGCAATCGCATGCATTTGAGCCAACAAATTGCGCGCGTTTATTATGTTTAATGATTTCTATATGTATGCCGTCGTCGCCGAGCGATAATTGATAAATGCAACTGATTGGCACTGGGACAGGTTCTGTCCTGGTTTCCTGCCGCCATCGTCCTGGGGAAAGGGAAGCCTGGCAAGTGACAGCCTTAAAACTGGCTTCTTCTGGCTAAGCTTCTCGGGCAGGCCAATCAGCGTTAATTATCCCAACTGCTTCTGGCAGGCGCCGTTGAAGGGCTGCCAATCTTGCTGCATCAGGAGATGTCGCAGCACTCGCAAAAAGTGTTTTATAAACTTAATGCAAAAACTTTTTAAAAAACTATTCACGAAAAACGTTTAGCAAAAAACTATTCATAGAAGACTTCTTTTGTAGACTAAGTTTTCGAAAAACCAAAAGGGGTATTTTTCTTTTAAAAAGATGTTATATATTTTCTCATTAAAATATAACTTCCATTTTTTAACACTTTTCCATGAAAAAGTTATGTTTTTAAGTTTCTGATTCGCTAAGCCTAACATCCACTTGGAATTCAGGAATAAATTCTTTCATTTATTTTGTACTTTTTAATAGAAGAAGAATTTGCTTGGGAATTTAAATAACTTAATAGTAGTGTAAAAGATTTATGTTAGTATTTTTTAGAAAAATATTTGGTTTCCCATTGTACCTGCAACTTGTGTTTTTTTGAGTGGCCTCCTGTTCTTCGTACTGCTCACTTCTTTTTCTGTTCACGCTCGCTTTACCTCCCCGCCTAAGTGGGTGGTGGGTTGGAGTGGGTTGAAGTGGGTGGGGAATGTGTCACAATGGATGCATCGAGCATAAGTAATTAAATTAGAATTTTTTGAGAAGCATAAAAGCGACGCTGCGCTGATTAACGCCCGTTGCCATGACAATGAGGATGACGCCGTCGCCGTCGCCGTCGCCTTGTCCCGCACCCACAACCACCTCCCACCCCCTGGAGCCACCCGCCTGTGGCTGTTGCTCATTTGCATCTGCAGTACAGGACCCCCTGCTCTCCACCTTGACGCTCGCCTTTTTGCTTAACGCTGATTTATGCAGATTTCATTAAAATTTGCTGCATGCAAAGTAGCAAAATGAAGTTTTAGTTTTGTCCTTCATTGTCGGGGCGGGCAGGCCATTCTTTAACGCACCACCGCCCACCGCTGTCCTCGATCATTCTGCATTGTGTTAATCAACGCTGACAGAGCAGCCGCAACACGAACAACTGTTTTGGCTGTCGACTGAATTCGCCCCTGGCTGAAGTGCCAACTGCCTTTAACTCGATTAAGCACCAGAAAGTTGGCGGATTCATTCGGCATCCAACTTAACCCTCGCTTGCCCCCGCTCTCCTCATATCCGACCATCCCTCAAGTAGTTTCGCCTGTTGCTGTCACTTCACCCTCAGTGCGCTTAAAAGTAGGCAACGCTTTTCACACCTAGCGGGGTTTTATGGGGTGTGTATATTGTTTAAAATCCTGCTAAAATAAACTTAACTGCCATTTGTACTAATAAATATAAATATAGGTACATACAATGGCCTTCAAGCCATTGTATGTGAACCATGGCCTGCATATTACGTGGATGTTACAAAAATCTGTTTCGATTTAAATGTCTAATTCGGGTAACTCAGAATACAATAATAATAAATTAAAATCAAAAACATTATTAAATTTTATGCAATATTTGATTGCCTTACTTTTTAAATTATTTCTTTCTACCAAAAATATTTAATTAAAATTCGGAATTAAAAATGTTTAAAATCATCAAAATAATTAAGCACAAAATCGTTTAGTATTTATAAATACGTATTACTTTAGTTTTCCCTAGTTCTACAGTTTTATTCATGCAACCATAATTCTTGCTAACTAGATTTCCAGCAGCTCGTTAAGGGAGATCTTTGGGTGCTTATCTTTCAGACCAAAGCAGTACTAATTATTATTGTTGTTGGCGTGATTAATGCCCCCGACCACTGCACTTTAATACAAATTTAATTGAGTGGTCGTCGCCGGGAGTTGGGACTCATCCGTCTGCGGCCTGTCACCGACAAAAGCGGGGGCGTTGGCTTGGCTGCGGCGCTTCGTCACGGAAACATGAAATATTCATAATAATTTTAGAATATTTTCGGTGGTGGCTTTGTCTCTTTGGGAGGTGGGGTGTGGGTTGTGGGGGGCGGTTCGCGGGTTGTGGCATTCGGGGGATGGGGTTGAAAGCTGGATGATTGGATGGTTTGGATGGCTGTCTGCTGAGTTGGCGCGTTTTATTGTCTGCGAAATGCCCTCGATTGTTGTGCGTTTTGTTTATCGAGCGGGAATACAAAGTGCCAGTCAGCAGACGCAACAAGTTTTCCACGTTTAGTCTTAGTCAATGGGAAAGCACACATGAAAAGACGCCAGTGCTCTTTGCGAATCTGAAACTGAATTCAAACTAATTGGGTGAAAGTGCACAGGGGCTTATGTATGTGGCCGGGCAACGAGCTGAACGAGAGCAAATAAAATAAAATCGATGGATGATGGCCTGGCCTGGCTTGGCCTGGCATCCCGAGTGCATCAATAAATGTCGAGCGGAGAGGTCCTTGCCAAGTGGGAGGACAAGCAAATCAAATAAAGCAACAAACATATTTGCCAGGCGGAAACTGTAATGGAACCAGGAATCGAAAGCAAACAAAATTCGAGGAAAACTACTTCGCCACACTGGAGACAAAGGACCGACCGCATGGGGGTGGATGTGGATGGCAGGACATCGCTGTGTATCCAGCAGATACATTTGATGCACTGTTGACACAGAGCCATTCAATTTGTTTTGGCTCATTAGAGTGCTGCAACTGTTGCTGGAATCTGGTTCTGGTTCTGGCTCTGGTACTGATTCTGATTCGCAATCTGGACACGACCTCGGACCTCGACCCGCTGTCAATGTGTCATTTCAAGGGTGCCGGGTGCTAAGTGCTTAGCCGTGTCTAATGCGGATTGCGTGGCCTCCGCCGACATTCATTAGACGTCGACCTTTCCACTTCAGCGGCTGACAAACCGCCCAACTGACTGACTGATTGACTCGCCGCCTGACACTTGTCCCAGTTGCGATGGATCGATCCTCCACCGCCCTCAAGGAGCTCTACATCCCAGCCAAGGATGTGGCGGATTCATCTGGGCAAACACTCGCTGACTGCCAGCCCCCATGGGATTGGCATACTTAGACTTCAAGTTGATTATTAATATTCCCAGGGCTCCTGCTCCGCCCTGCACGGGAAATGAGATGCAGTAACTGCAGTAATGGATATGTAATCATCAAATCTACATGATTACAAAAGCCACCGCTGCATTCTGTAATGTTAAGTAAAGCATTTCCTTAACCCCAATGCCAAGGTGCCTTAAAAGTTTGTAAGCTGCCTAAACAAATGAAATATAAAATTAAAATAAAGTTGGCAAGAAATTAGAATTAAATTATTTCAACAGTAAGACCGTGTATTTTTATATCCTTGCAGAGGGCATTTTTATTTGCACCGCGGAGAAAGAGACATTTCCTACCCTATTAAACATATATATTCTTGATCAGCATCACCCGAAGAGCCGATGCAGACATGTCCATCTGTTTTTACGCAAACTAATCTCTCAGTTTTGAAGCAATTTAAATTAAACTTTTTCAAAAGTTCTCTTTTTATTGCTAGAAGTATGTATCGGGTGATTATATCAAATAGTTCCCAAAGAAATAAACTAAAAATTAAATTTTATAAAATTAAAACTTCGTTGTTTTTGAACATATACGATATACATCAAGATATCAAGCGCAAGCACTGGGCTCTTCCGTCGGTATCGCAGCAGTGACTTAATAGGACTTACCGAAAAAGAATTTCATCTTTACAATCAACCACTACGATATTCATCTCCAGGTCAAGGCTCTAAATCGATTCCCACAGAAATGTACCGATGCGCTGAGAGCGAAGCTCAAAAAAGACGCTAATTGGCTAAAGCTTTAAGCCGCCAGCAAAAAGTTGCTATATAGTGGCCATAACCACCCAACTATTCATGCATTGTGAAACTCCCATCGGAAAAGGGGAAAATGGGGGGCATGAGGCGTGTGTAATGCCTCGGTTCGCTGCATTAGCCATAAATCTTCATCAGCGCTCGCTTCATAAATAATGCGAATATGCGAAAATGAGAAATGTTTTTGGTTTTGTCGTCGGTCGTTTGGTTTTTGCTTTAATTTTAATGACATAGAGCAGCGTACTACATTGCATGCAAACAGAGTAGTCCAGAATCGAGGCCAGGGTCCGATCTGTTGCATTTTCTGGCTGGTTTCACTTTAATCCCAATATACATACTGGCAATGAACGTGCAAATTGGAGGCGGGTCCTGCGGACAATCTCTGGTGACAATCTGTTTGATTTCCATTTGCGCTCTGCCCCCTTAATTGAGTTACTCGTTACATGACTGGCAGCATCGAAAAATAAAAGAAAAAGTATCGTCAATTTGGAAATTATACAAATATAAAAAAGTGTTTTCTTCTTATTTGTTTTATTTGATTATTTAATAATCTTGTTAAACTAATAAAATGTTAATATAATGTTTAAATTTTATCCAAATAAAAAAGGTTTTCTAAGGTCTTATAAAAATGGTCATAATGTTCCCTATGTTCTTACGTAACTCACACAACAGGTTTGTTTAAGAACTTTAGGTTATAAAATCCAGCCCTTAAAACTAGTTGGACTGTACTAAAAAGATACTTTTAAATATGTAAGGGTTACGATTTTACACTGACGTTGGATAAATTTAATTTGACCACAACCCTGGTCATTTTTCTGTGTGTAGTTTATAATAAGCTCTGGCTATGGGTGGGGGAAAACACACACTTTGCTTTAGTCGTACTTATAGTTTAGTATGCCCCAAACCACATTTAACTCTTTATCTCCATCTCACTCTCGTTCTCGGCTTCCGTCTCTTTTTGGACCACCCGCAGCGATCCCCCCATTTTGCAGGCGCACAACCGAACGGACATCATACTGCGCTTACCCATGGGCAAAAGGATTAAGGACATTCGATGGCTGTCAGTGTGGTGCAGACGCTTCACGGTGAGTCCTGAGTCCTTGCTGCTTCTCCATCCATCCATCCATCGTATCTTTTTTCTATGCGGATGGCACGCGCCATCCTCCCAGATTTATGTGTGTATTTAGCCGGGCAAGAGCCTTTTTTTTTGTAATTACATTTTTGTAATTTAACTGCAGCTGCACAAAGATTTTAGCATTATGCTTTGCCCGGCTATCGATTATGTTCTTAATAGCTTTTCAAAAGGGAAGTTATTTGGTTTCTCATCTGGCGCTTGTTTAAGAGTAAATGAAGGATTTAGCAAGGCAAATATCATCCTTTGTGCAGACTATAATGTGGGTCAGTCGCCTGAAACTTTGTTTTCATTAGAGTTTTAGATTTTAATTACAGGTCTGAATATGCAAATGCCGTCCAAGCGAGCGACCACTTGCAATTATGTTTGTCTTCGTCCTGTGAAAATGACTTTTGTTTAAGTTTCCTGGGCGGAAGCGGAGTACAAGTGCATTTCCAGATAAATTCCACAAATTGGGACGGGTTTTCAGGGTGGGGGGGTTGGAGGTTTGTGGAGTTTGCAGCATGGTCGAATAAAAGATGGCGGCCGTAGTAAAATAAATTACAGCAGACATTTTTGATTAACTCAAGTGGTTGCATATAAACACACACAGGCAGAGAGCGCCCCCCTCGTCACACAGATACTCACACGGACGGGGGGTTCGTGTGTGTATACGTGTGGCATACAGGGTGCTCCTTCCACGACTGTGTGTTTGTGTGTATGTGGGTGTACGGGGCCTTCCATTGACTGACAGCCAAAAAACTTCTTGGGGGCTGACTGCCGCACACTCACACAACTGCACTCAGATTGGGGTTAGTTTGCCACGGTGTGTGTCAGTGCTTTTGTGAGTGTGCGAGTGTTGTTTGTGGAGTTTTGAGCGCGCATGCCCGATTTTTTACGAGGGGGTGGGGTATTGGGGGTATCTGGGGTTTTGGGGGGGTGTGCCCCACACGGAGGCATACATAAACACTCATTATGTACAAATGTTTTGGGTATACAACAACAAAGCGGTTGTTTGGTTACTTAGAATCGCGTCAAATGTAGACACGGTGTAGCGTAAAATGCACATGTAGAATTAAAGGTTTACCCTTAAAGTTTAGCTAGAATTTAAGATTACAAATCGACACTCCAATTGAGCAATTATTATTAAATTAGTTATTATATGCAAATATCTCAAAGTGATCTCTAGATAAAATACAAAATTGTGTCAGGAAAATATAAATATAATAATTTAACACTATTAAATGCAAAAATTGCAGCTTAATTTACATCCGCAATATTTTAATGTAGAACTATTGTTGTGCTTGTGGAGTATTCTTTATTAAATTTACTCTTGTTAGGTTGTATTAAAAAAAACTTATAGCATAGGTTTCATTTAATTACATAGTCAATATGTTAAATTAATATTAAGTTAAATTAATATTACAATAGTTTCGTTTCTATGACTATTTTTTTCGGTGTACAAAATTGTCAAAACATAAATGTAATCACACAGCTGATATGTAAAAAGAACGTATGGTATGTAGAAACAAAAAAATGACTTGCCACACCTTGATAGCATGATATGCATAAAATCATAAATGATATGTACAAAAAAGATAGTTTGATGACCTTAACCCTCTTACAGGTTGATTTTGGTGAGGTTTTCATACCATCCAATCTGGATGTGCCCAAACCGCGTGTACTTCCCGAATTCAAGCGATTGGCCCATGGCCTACGTTCCAGCAACATCAGCGTTTTGGATGCCAGGACGTTCTACATGTAAGATTAACAAAAGCTTTTCCTTTTTAAATATTTAACCAATTTTACGTTTTCAAGACCCAACCTGCACTACGACGGAGCTGGACCGGATGCCTATTTCTGGGTGGGCAATGGCAGCGAACCGAATATCATGGGAATAAAGGTCAGTGACTTACATCCGAGCTTCTTCGACCTGATTATTGTTTTAATAGCTACATTCGAAAGTCAATTATTAAATAAATTAATATTTATTAATTTAATAAGATTTTTGAATAAGGTTTTAATGTTTAAACTCACTAATTAACATGCATTTATTAAGGGCGTTAATCAAACAAATTTTTTTTTAAAAAAATTTTTTTTTTTTTTTTTTTTGGGTTTTTTTTTTTTTTTTTTTTTGGGGGGTTTTTTTTTTTTTTTTTTTTTTTCCCCCCCTTTTTCCCCCCCTTTTTTTTTGATAAAAATTCATATTTCATATGAATTGCTTCTATTTCATATTTATATTTAATTTATTGTAATGATTTTTTTTTTTTTAATTTTTTTTTTTTTTTTTTTTTTTTTTTTTTTTTTTTTTTTTTTTTTTTTTTTTTTTTTTTTTTTTTTTTTTTTTTTTTTTTTTTTTTTTTTTTTTTTTTTTTTTTTTTAATTTTAAAATTTTTTTTTTTTTTTTTTTTTTTTTTTTTTTTTTTTTTTTTTTTTTTTTTTTTTTTTTTTCCCCCTTTTTTTTTTATTTTTTTTTTTTTTTTTTTTTTTTTTTTTTTTTTTTTTTTTTTTTTTTTTTTTTTTTTTTTTTTTTTTTTTTTTTTTTTTTTTTTTTTTTTTTTTTTTTTTTTTTTTTTTTTTTTTTTTTTTTTTTTTTTTTTTTTCTCCCTCCCCCCCCCCCCCTTTTTTTGTTTTTTTGGGGCCCCCTTTTGTTTCTCTTGTTTTATAATAAATTGACCAATGTCACCCTTTCAGGTGCCCAATGAGGCAGGATCTCTGGAACCGTTGCGCGGCTACCAGGGCGAGGACATCGAGATCCAACTCCCCGGGAACATGACCGTATACGACATCGACTGGCTGGCCGTGTGGTGTGTGGAGTATAGGCACAACTTCGGACACGTCTACGTTCCCAGGGACCTGGACGTACCGCCAGCTTTGGGCCAGACCAAGATAACGGTAAGTGTGATAATCCCCATCGCATATAGTTAGTTCCGGAACATTGCCCTGATCCATATGCTAGCATTTGCTCATTTCCACACAACTCATAATGTATATCTCTTTGACTTATGCGCGCCGCATTAGCCTTCATGGTGGTATTCACCCGTGAGTACTAGACTTAGCCTCATGCATGTCCCGCCTTTCGGCCAGACCAATCCCTCTTACTCCGCCCCCTTGTCCATTCCAGACCACCACGACCCCGCGTCCTGTGTACAGCAATTGTCGCGAGATCCTGCCGAACAAGCTGCAGGTTAAGTGGGAGCTTCAGGACGAGTATCTTCTGGTGGAGCTCTTCGGGCGCATCAACGAGGATCAGTACATGGCCTTCGGACTGTCCGGAGCAAATGGCCGTCCCCAGATGTCCCAGTCCGACGTGGTGGTGGCCTTCTACGACACCAACGCCCGCGTTTTTCGGGCCGAGGACTATTTTATCTCGGATTTGTCCCAGTGCGATGGTCAGCGGGGAGCTTGCCCCGATGAACGGATTGGGGCACGTAATGATGTAATCGTCGGTAGGTGGAAGACTATCAGTATTTGAGCTTTGAAACTAGCTTATGAGATTATAAATTACTTCTAATAAATGTTTACACCTGCAGTTAGCGGCGATAGAAAAAACGGGGTCACCAGCATCCGCTATAAGCGCTTGCTGCAGACCAACGAGGCCATCTACGATTCCCCGATTCCCATTGACCGCGAGGTTTCGGTAATTGCCGCCATAGGACCTCTAAACGCCCGGAAGGAGGCCAATGCCCACTCGCACACCGCCAGCGACCACAACCAGGACGACATTCGCATCAATTTCTCTACGAGAGTAGGTCCAATAGCCTATAGCTGGAGGTAAATAATAAACGAGTTAACCTTCCAGAACGATCACGCCTGCAGGAGTTCGCTGTACGATGTTAAGGACGAGACTGGACCCAAGCCATGGCCCACACGAAAGATCGAAGGTGTCAGGAAGTTCCGTGCCAGCATTGGACCCACGGGCGGCAAGCGCGGATATACCGCCATCACTGGATCGCCCTCGTGGGGCATTGCCTGGTATGTGAACGATCTGCTGATCCCTGAAATCACTGTGGAGCGCGGCCTGACCTACGAGTTCATCATCGAGGGTGGCAATGATCCCTCTCAACCTGCTAGGTATTTATTGGTTAATTCACTAATATATGCTTGCTCTTTTTTACAATAACAATAATTATATTTATGGCACACATATTTTTCATGACATCTTGAAAACCCAGTTTTTACTCTAGTTTTGTACACTAGTTTTGTACTCTAGTTTTGTACTCTAGTTATGTACTCTAGTTTTATACTCTAGAATTGTAGTATATCTCAAATTAACCTCTTATTTGACACAGATATCATCCCTTCTACATCACGGACTCTCCTGAAGGTGGACTGGGTCAGAAAATGGGTCTGGAGGCCCGAAAGCAGAAGGCTTATGCTGGAGTTGAGTACGACGAGGATGGCAACGCTGTTCCGACAGCAGGTGAGCCTTTATTCTAGCCATATTTTTTCACACTTTATGATTCATGATTTTTTTAGCCGGTCGTTATTGCGAGTGGGAGCACCAGACCGTTGATCGTTCGGCGGAAATCGAGAATTTCGAGGAATACATGAAAACACTGGAATTCAAGTGCGAGGATGGTGAGCCTGGCTACCTAAACTGGACAGTGCCGGCGAATGCTCCCGATCTGCTATATTATCAGGTGAGTTTTGCTCTAAAAAGCAGATATAAAAATAAATAATCCCCTATAACTACTTTTACAGTGCTTTACACATAATACTCTGGGCTGGAAAATCAACGTCGTGAACATGGGTGCCTCTAGGGGATCGATAGTCAATAGTCATCAGATTATATTATACGGAATTTTCACAGTTTTTAGCCTGGTCGCGACACGTCTTCTTATGTGTAGTCACATACTTGCCTGATAGTGCCGCCAGTAAATCGTTTTGAATTCTGTATTTACTTCAAATCTATCGGCAGATAAGACCCCGAGATCAGACAACATATCCAGATCCTTACATATCCATTACCTACCATATCCTGCTCATACTTAAAGTATCAAACCGTCATCAAACTTCTCGAGACGAATTTATAATTTCACATTGGCACAATCGGGACTTGTCTGTCGGTAGTTTTGGGCCACTTGGCGACTTTCACAACCAGGCTAATATCATCTGACAAACATATCTTGACAATAATTCGTAAGATGTAAAACTGTTGAAATTGTGTGTGCATGCGTGAGGGCCCACTGTACCGGTAACCCCGATGAGTGGGCGTAGAATGGGTGTTAAGCCATAGCCGGAACTTGATCGGTTGTTGGCAGTAGAATTTTGTGGCTAGGCAGCGATAACTTTTTGTACATTTACGAGTATGGAATTCTACTTTTTTACATGTATACTTATTAAATTTACTTATACATCTACATCTCTAGTACAGTAAAATTGTAATTTTTCTAGCAACTACTACAAAACCTACACTGGCATGTAGATTCAGAATCATGTTTAATATGCGGTTCTATCGAAAAGTAAACCGACAATAATAACGCAACACTGCGACAATAAATTAATGATAGTAAATGTGTGTAAAAACACACAAAAAATATTAAAACAAAATAAATTAGATGGGCGCGAATTAAGCTCAAAGGAATTGTACAATAAGAATTATATGGATTTAGGAAGGGCAGAAACCGATGCAATTTGTATGACAATAATATCTACAGATTTGTGAATTTTGAGAAAGTTTCGCAGACAATACAATACTTTTACACAATTTGAATGTACTAAGAAACTAAATACAAATAAGATAACTATGTTATTTAATGCTACTGACTACTGTGGTGCTTCTTGTAACGATATTAGATGAAATGTAAATCACACGCCGCACACGTTTAAAATGGAATACAAGAATCCCTTTGGACGGGATGAAGTTTTTGTTATCAGATGGTTTTCTTGTAACTTTTTTAACTATATTTGCATAATTGGTGTTTTTATATAAGCATGATATATATATATATTCGTATATGTTTACAATAAGCGATATGTTTATAATGGTAAGTGAATCAGAGAGACACACAACTAAAATGTACGACAATAACAAGAGGACAAATGTGTCAGCTAGATACTTGAGAAATATTTGGCAAGATATTGAATATGTAATATTATAAACTGATAAATATCCATGTATGGTAAATCCTTTTGATAGTTGTTCGCATTAATTTTGGACTATGGCTTGATGTAAGCAAACATAAATCTGAACAAATTAACTCTGTAGCCAGAGCTAAAGATCCCCCTTAAATGAGCTAATTTGAATCAAAGGACTAACTTTTCCTAAAAGTATAAATGTATAAAAAACTATTGGACACTAAAGTTTGTTAAGTTTCTGTTGTTTTCCTTCGTTTCCTTTCCCTCTATAAGTTTACATATTAAGGGCCACTATGCTGTTGTAATGTACATTTTCGGGTAAAAGGATATAGAAAAGTGTAAGGATCCATAAACTACAACTATGGAGAGTTTTGATATTTAAATTTGACAAGATCTGGAGCAGGTTTATAAGTCAAATTGATTTTTGTATAGTTAATGCAGCTAAGCGCACAAGAGTCCAGAAAAAATGAAAACAAAGTCGAAACAAATCAAATTGATAACCAAATCAAAAGATTTATAAATAAATGCACACCTTTATATTCAATTGATATACATATACATAAATACATATTTACATTAAACAAAAGGCAAGAATATGACTTTCAAAGAATATCCCAAGAATATAAAAATTTCCATGTCGATTATAACTTAACATCTCGTACTTAGATAGCAACATTTTTCTGCATTACCTTAACGAAATACTTTCATTAAAAATAATAAAATCCAAATCAAAAGCAACTTGCAAAAAATCTCCAATTTAATAAATAGATATGCATGAGGCGCAGACAAAGAGGATGAGGAATAAACTAATCCATTTTTAAATGTTATTAGATCGCATCAGATCTATCAAACCCGATTGACAATAACTTGCCAAATAAGTGGTAGGGAATTGAAAGATTGATGTCAATAATAAGAAGCTTCACATGAAGAAAAAACAAAGGGCGTAAAAAACGAATATTCTATAAATAAATTTCCGAAAAACACTTGCTTTTGTTTTACTTTAATTGGGGCAACAATATTGTAAACAGCATTCAAACGTTCTTGTGAAAATAAAACTCTGACTAAATCCAGTCCTAACGTGCTATACGTATTCTTATATTATTATCATATTTATTATTAATGTCGGGACGGCGCGAACGCCATTCCCGGCTACCAAAAATTACACGCACGAGTTATTCACATTAGGAATAATCGCAGAGGTCAACTCAGCCGAGGTGCAATGGCCAAGCCTCACTCCGGAGGAACCGCCTTCGTGATCACGGTTAACCTCTACGCCAGGTAAGTATGCTTTTCTCCGCTCGGCAGCAAGGTTTCCATGCCATAACAGCTAGAACCAGTTGAGAATTATAACGAACTGTGTGTGACATAAAGCACCCCTATAAATATGCCGCATAAAATGTGCTAGCATGCGCAGTCGATGACCCGCTTTTCACTACCAGCTGTTGTTAGTAAACAAATGCCTTCGCCTTTATTTTTAGCTATTGTAAAAGTATATTCGCTTGTACTTTCGATTTAAAAATATATTTATTTCTTTCCACTAAGTCTCGAAAATCCTTGTTAACATAATAAGTCAGTTATTTTTGACTCATCATATTTTTAAAAGCGCATGTTATATTAAATTTAAATACATAAATTTATGTACTTTTATAAAGATACTATATAGGTTTTACCAAAGGTAATATTAATAATAGTAATATTAATACTTTGTTTTAATTAGATATGTGCTTAGCAGCTATAGAGCTGTTTTTAATTTAGATATTTTATTTTGTACGCCGTCCAATAAATAAAACAAAAAAACAAGAAAGGAAAGCTAACTTCGGGCGGAGCCGAAGTTGATATACCCTTGCAGAATACTCTGTAAATTATATTCTCCAAAATTATTCATATAATGCATTCTTAATACTCAAAAAAATCCCAACTTCCTAACTTTACAAACACGAAAGTTATGGCATTTCCAATCAATCAGTTATATGGCAGCTATAGGATATAGTCGGCCGATCCTTATGAAATTTGGTAGGTCGGATTGATTGGCCAAAAATAAAACCCATAGAAAATCCCAACTTCTTAACTTTACAAACACGAAAGTTATGGCATTTCCGATCAATCAGTTATATGGCGGCTATAGGATATAGTCGGCCGATCCTTATGAAATTTGGTGAGTCGGATTGATTGGCCAAATATAAAACCCATAGAAAATCTCAACTTCCTAACTTTACAAACACGAAAGTTATGGCATTTCCGATCAATCAGTTATATGGCAGCTATAGGATATAGTCGGCCGATCCCGGCCGTTCCGACTTATATACTGCGTGCAATGGAAAGAAGGGTGTGTGCAAAGTTTCAATTCGATAGCTTTAAAACTGAGAGACTAGTTTGCGTAGAAACAGACGGACGGACAGACGGACAGACAGACGGACAGACGGACAGACGGACATGGCTATATCAACTCAGGAGGTGATCCTGATCAAGAATATATATACTTTATAGGGTCGGAGACGTCTCCTTCACTGCGTTGCACACTTTTGACCAAAATTATAATACCCTCTGCAAGGGTATAATAAGTGGCACCATTTTATAAAAAAGGTTTTTTTGATTACCTATAAAAGGAAACTTCCTAATAGAAAGCAACAGCAGATAAATGCCAACTTGGGCCCCATTTGGTGAGAAATTAATGCACAAATTTCATATCCATTAAAAAACAAGCCCAAGCGAATCATTGCACCCCGCTATGAAAAATAAACACTCGGAAAATCGTTTATGTGTATTGCTAGAAAGTTTTTATTTTACATTTTGTATTTATTATGAACTATTTTGTTGTTCTGTTTTGCAATGTTGTGATTTGTTAACACACTGCGGCGCAACATTAAATGAACACACAAACGTGTTTAATGCATACAAAATAATAATACAAATAATCGTAATGTGTATAAGATTAACTAACTTTGTAATGCATAATGCGATTTGGGCAGAAAATGAATATCAACATACATAGATCGCTGCAGATATATTTAAACCTATATAGATCTAGATATACGTAAGATGCTATCATGGGTAGTACTTAATACGTTCGATTTCGTGAACTCCCTTTTATACGTATTAGCTGACAGAGTTTTGAAACTGTACATGTTGTTCATACGGTTTTGTTTTTGTTTTCGTTATCATCATTTCATTATTATTTGTTATTTAGAATAATGCTTTACCAAGTTTTCATTTCTTGTAGTTAAATTGATAATTGTGTTAGATTCTCCTCGATCAATCTTCGTTTTAAATGTAAGCTCTAGATTTGGTGAGAAATACGTAAATGTTGTTGCTGCATATGGGTTGGTTGCCCAACCGATAGCAGTGTTGGGTAGTTGCAATTGATTGCGAATAATTAGGTTCAACGATTACATTTCAATCTTGTTTGTTTTTACACAATTATACACAATTTATGTGGTTGCCCGTTGGGGCTATAAATATATCTGCGATTTACATTCGGTCTCAACTTTTACAATTATGCAATTTCATTAATTCGTATGGTTGATGTGTGCCGCTGATCATTGCGTTTGTTTGCCTTGCTTTCATTATTTCAAATAATTTTTACATTACACAGTGGGGGAAACCAAACATGAAACATTAACATGCTATTTTAATCGGGGAATGGGGTGTGTAATAAGGAGATGAGAGCGGCTTTGTTACTTTCAAAATTAATTGCATTGATTTGCCTAACATAATGCAGCAATTACATATCAGCAATCGAATAATGAAAAACTTAAGTTGCCAGAGACACAACAAATACAAACATTTCTTTGCTTTGCTTCGATTAAATTTGTTCTCCATTTGTGTTTGTTTAATTCAGTATTTTCTGTTGCTTTTTAATGTTAATTAATGATAATAAATAAAGCCTAGTTTTAATGCCTGCTTCAAACTTGGACATCTTTCAATTACTACAGTATCTATATAGACGTAAATACAATCCATTATATTTATATTTAATCTAGATTATCCTGGAATATTAATTTAATGTAGCCGGTCGCACCATCCAAGGGCGTCGCACAGAAGGGACAGACGGCCTGAAATCCGTTGGTGCCGTGCGGTATCTCCACATTTGCCCAGTATCTGCAAGAGTTCAAGGTAAACACACAATTAGTAAAATCATTTGCCAGCCATCACTGGCTTTAGATGCTCACTTGACAGTTTTTTCAGTCGCCATGTGTCCGCATGGATTGAACGCGTACGTCGGAGCGCCCACGTCCACATAGAAGGCCGGTTCCAGACCCATGCACAGGGTGACCACCGGGCCGAGTTCCAGGCACATGGGACAGCGGCGGGCACCAGTGTTCTCGTCTTGACCCCAATCGTGATGGCCTGCCAAAGGAATCGAGCAGAATTATGGATTTTTCTGCCAGTCTGAGAAAACAATCACACTTACCCTGGACGTGGCCGCAGTTTAAGTACACGTAAGGCTGGTTCACCTGATCCCCAATGTTAACTTTGCGTGGTATAACCAGTGTATTCAGGCCCACCGGGCACTGTGGACGACCGGCATTAATGGCATCGATAAGTTTCTCCAAATCGTGTTTGGTCTGTAATTAATAAAAGGTTAATGTGTTTCTCATAAAGTGTAATTAGCTTAAGTGGTTTCTTATTATTTCGTAAAAATCAATATTTTGTTGTAATAGTTTATTAAGATCTTTTTATTTAAAGTGAATCTTAACGATGAGAATTTTTGATATTTAAATTCCTGAAGAAATTTTGAAGAATGTAAACATTCTTTCAGTTTAATTTATATCTCTTAATAATTCAGCTCTACTAAACTAAACTAGTTTAAATACCTCTTGAAAATTATAGCAATTAATCGTATTTAAATACGAAAAATTTTTTAAATTTGACTTTAAAAGTAGTTACCATCCTTAAAAGGTAAGTAATTTAAAAGTCCTGGTTGGTACCATATCAAATTATGTGGAAAACTCATTTTATTCAAGACATCTAAAATGAATCATAGGTACTCACCGGCGAATGTTGCAAGCCCTCGGCGGAACGCCAGAGCAAGGTTGCGCCGCAGAGATCAATAAGTGTGCCATCCTGCAGGATGTTGCATTCGTCATAGATCTGAGGAAATGAGGAATTTTAATCAACTGTAATGGGTTGGATAACAAATTTACTTACGGGCTGACCCTTCTGCTGGGCCGAACGCGATTCGCGCAGGCTGAAAACATCGCCGCCCACGGAGCACTCGCGCCAGAGGCCGCACTTGGCATTGCCGCCACAGAAGGATCCTTTGGGGTGCATAATCAGCACGCCGTTGGTGGTCAGGCCATCGATTTCCACATTGTCCTGCCACTTGGTGGCCTTCTCCTGTGCAAAGTCAAGTTCGGAGCTCATTAGAATCAGCAGGAGACTACCAGATGGACAGCAGACTTACCCCAAGGAATATGTTTCTGCTCGAATCGAAGCCGGCGGCGAATATTCTCGCCTTGGCAGGCTCACAGCGGTTGACCAGAATGCGACAGGCGAAGCGAGAAATTGTGCTCTGCATCACCTTGGCATCCTTCTTATCGCCGGGCAGCGTGTCCATCACCACAAAGTCAATCGGCGACTCCGAGGAGCGTCCCACCTGGCGGAGCAGAGCAATCATGATTAGTTCAGAGTGAGTGGTGGGGGAAAACTGATTAGGTAATTTATCACTGGGCAAATAAGTGACGACTCATGCGATATTGGCATTACACTTCAGACCAATGAGGAAGAGATACTTCGGTTGCCAAGCCAATATAAATATTGAATGTCGCATTGTCTGGCCGTCAAAAGTCAACAGAGAAGACCTTCTTGACAGTGCACTATTTCAGGCCCTTGGCGGCTCTAATTAGCCGAATAACATTCATCAAAGTCAAGCCGAGAAATCGAAACCAAAACATGGGGGGGCTGTCAGCCAGGTCAGTTTTGGGTGCCTCACCTGAAACATGTCCGTTTCCGCGTCCTCCTTGTACTCGACGATTACCGCCTG